CTGGGAGCTCCACACCACGCCTGCGCCGGCAAATGTCGCGAGAGTGCCGAATGTTTCAATATCATATATTGATATATAATTTGTAAAGATATTAATTAAATAATACAAAAATAAAACTTGAATATTATCAATATATAAATTGAATAATATAGACATAAAGCATAAACATAAATATATGAATTAAATGATATAGATATATAAGTTTTAATTATAATTTCATAGAATACGCGAAGAGCGCTAAGTCGCATTCGAACGTCTTCTTTCCTGTTCCCAGGTATCCCTCCGGGCGAGAGGTGCACGGCTGCATCCTGGTCTGGCCTGACGGACCGCAAATGGCCTCCTTCACCGACTACGTGTGAGTACTCTTGGCTGGATGACGATGGCGGCGGTCACGTGCCTGAAGTTTGTCGCGCGCTCCGATTGCATTCGGGTGTTCCGGCCGTTTTGTTCGTGGGATAAAAATGGTCGGAAATAGAATTAATAACGACATTTTTGACTTCTTGGGAACGGGCTGACCACATTTACTGAAACTGAACTTTCCTAGGAAAATTGGCCTGGAACTAGGAATATGGGGATATAGCCAGAATCCGGGAAAATTTCTCGGCTGTTGAGTGTTTTCTCTTACACAGCAAAACTAGCTTTAAAAAAATGTGATAAAAGCTCGTTTTTCTCGTCTTCTTGATCAAATACGTCATCATTGGTTTGCAAATGGGTACGCACGCCACCACTGCGTAATCACTCGTACACAGCGCTATTTGCGGCTACATACCGAAGCGGCTAGGTAATCTGCTAGCCAAAATATGTCAAAATATCGTAACCAAATCTTAAAATATATTTCAAAACTGTATCAGAAAATATAATACAACCTGGTCCGGACGATGATCACTTATATCACGTTGGAATCATACTGTTTGTTGTATGCAGGCTGTACATACCTTGTACGTCGTTTCATGATGGCAAGATAAGCGCTTTTGAATTTGTTTAGTTTGGAGCCATAGATGTCAGGCATACTTATGCTAGTGCTCACCTGTCCGTAACCGTCCTTGTGAAATGGGTAACCCAACTTAAGTTACCTATACATTTGCCTCCATTGCAACCCTGTTAGGTGTAGGAAGGGACATCAAGTGACCAAGCCCACGCGTTTCAAAGTGAGGGCAGCGGTACCTGTACCGGTGCGGTACCCTATCTTTCACTTCCCCATTCTACCACACGCACTTTAACATCACAATTCTCTTCAACAGACAAGCTCCTGGGGACAAGCGTTGATGGATTTCAGTGTATTTGCCGTGCGTGTCACCTGCGCGCACTTAAGCCTTCATTTGTATCATTTGTTGATCCTGCCCGGCATGAGGACATCTTTTGACGCTGTTTTATATAAGCGTACCAACAAAAGCAGTGTTGTTTAGGCATGAATAGCAACGAGGCATGACGTCTGGGAAACGGCACACAAAAACCGTTAGTTGCGTGGAAGTCTTGCGAAATGTACCTGGACCAGCGCGGTCTCGGTGCATGATAACTACGTTTAGTGAATTGCATGCCCTTTGTACATTATAGCTCGTGCTGCCTGTTGTGATAAAAATACTAAAATTATTAGCTTATGCCGCTGATATTGCATTAACCCTGGTCCGGTCGGGAGAAGTTGGGTTCCGCCTACGTTTTTCCCGAATACAGGTCAAAAATGAACACTTGCAGTGACACAAAATTTGCATTACCTGTTCAGCCATCAATGTGGCATTCTTCTGCAAATTTAAGGTTCAGATCCCCATGATCGGTGACCTAGGTCAGGTCAAAGAAGTCAACCTCTAAAAGCCTTTCAACACACATAACTTTGTGTGGGTTATTTCATATTGTTCAAACCTGCTAAAGTGATAGAACATGATAGCACCAACGGCTTAAAGCCTTCGGATTTTTGTAAAATATGAGGTCAGTGACCTAATGCCAGGTCAATTTCTATTAACCGTTTTAAAAAAATGCGAGTTTGTACGTAGAATTTTGGTTTTTGTGTCTGTATATGAAGAAACGAGTACCAACTTACATGCGTAATCGTCACGTGACCACAGAGTACGTGACCTTGCCTCAGATCATGACCTATCTCTATGGGCGAATGTAGCAAAGCAAATGCCGAGCTTAAAATGGGCACTTCTATTGGGTAATTTTGGACGCAGAACTGGAGTACTACTTTTTGTGATAATGGGATATAATGATAATGCATGTTGAGGTCACAGTAGGTCCTGTGATGACATGCAAGGTCATATGAGGTCATGCGAGGCCAATGGCCTATGACGCCAGCAGCAGAGAGGCTAAAGAACGAGCGGGACGCCTGTAACTATCTTCTTATCGTGTCTGCGAAACCGATGACGTCTAGTTTTATGTACCAACGTATCTGTTCTTAATTTGTTACAAATGCATTGCCAGCTGTCTAAGGGACAAGTATAATGTAGACAACAGCTATGCCATTCTGAGTACCTGTAGATGTCCAATACGCTATTTCTTCGCAGATAAACACGTACACTCGGCTATCGCTTCAAATTTGGCTATTTTGATGGCTTGTAAAGTTGAGTTATGTTGACTTCGAATGACGTCTAGGTCACCCTTAAATAAAATTTTGGGTGTTGGGAATCCATTTTTCACAACTGCACCTAATAAACTAAACTTAGAAGCTTTTTTGGAGAAAAACATCGTTCTTGTAGGCTATTGGTAGACTTGTTTTGACCGGTGCGGCCTAATCTGACCCGACCAGTCGGGGGGAACGAGAATGGTCGGAATGAACTCTCCACAGTTTTAACGCTTATTTCTGTGTCCTCAATACCCGTCTCGATGTGTTGACATAGTTTTTAACTGCACCCATCGAAACGAGTGTCTCTGACTTTTCGTGGCCTCTGGTGATCTCATAGTCGACCTAAGGTCAAAAATTCTGTGTGCATTTCTCATAATTTTACGAGGCCTTTAAAATGATATATTTTTCATACCGCGTCTGGAAGTTGGAGATCTCAGGATAAGGCAACTTACCCCCGGCCAGGCGCGGGTGTCTCAGATCCCCGGCTAGGCGCGGGTGTCTCAGACCCCCGGCTAGGCGCGGATGTCTCAGACCCCCGGCCAGGCGCGGGTGTCTCAGAACCCCGGCCAGGCGCGTGTGTCTCAGACCCCGGGCCAGGCGCGTGTGTCTCAGACCCCGGGCCAGGCGCGGATCTAAGTATGCCGTGCTGCTTCCAATAACCATCATGTAAGTAGTCGATGTTACGCTATTTCCGGAGGCGATAATTTTGAATTACATGTTGACTAAGCAAATAGATCCATAAGCGATGTTTTATTTCCGCTTCAGGCGGAAAGCGGCTGGCGCTTGGATCGACAGTTTCGTTGACATTGGAAATAGACAGCTTGAATCACTTCCAGACTGGCGTTTAGATCGACAGTTTGGTTGACATTGGAAATAGACAGCTTGAATCACCTGTAGGCTGGCGTTTATATCGTCAGTTTAGTTGGCATTGGAAATAAACAGCTTGAATCACTTCCAGACTGGCGTTTAGATCGACAGTTTAGTTGGCATTGGAAAAAGACAGTTCGAATCACTTGTAGGCTGGCGTTTGGATCGACAGTTTAGTTGATATTGGAAATATACAGCTTGAATCACCTGTACGCTGGCGTTTATATCGACAGTTTATTTGGTCTTGGAAAAAACAGCTTGAATCACCTATAGTCTGGCGTTTGGATCGACAGTTTAGTTGACATTGGAAATAGACGACTTAAGTCACCTGTAGGCTGTCGTTTGGATCGACAGTTTATTTGGCATTGGAAATAAGCAGCTTGGATCACTTCCAGACTGGCGTTTAGATCGACAGTTTAGTTGGCATTGGAAATAGACGACTTAAGTCACCTGTAGGCTGTCGTTTGGATCGACGGTTTATTTGGCATTGGAAATAAACAGCTTGAATCACTTCCAGACTGGCGTTTAGATCGACAGTTTAGTTGGCATTGGAAATAGACGACTTAAGTCACCTGTAGGCTGTCGTTTGGATCGACAGTTTATTTGGAATTGGAAATAGACAGCTTGAATCACCTGTAGGCTGGCCTTTGGATCGGCAGTTTATTTAACCTTTGGTTAGCTTCAACAAGTAAAAGTTCATCCCGGGCTTCTCGGCAAGCTGTCAGCCGTTGATGGTCGTTCAAACATTAGCAACAAGCGCGGTTCCAACTTCAACTGGGAATTCAAATGCGTGGAAGAGGCCATGCGAAAACTATATCTGGTGCATGAGCGGCAACCTGTGCAGTATCAGCAAAGACGGTGAGAACAAAGTTAAAGCCTTGTTTCATGTAGCTTTTGAACCCTGCGATGTATTGATGGGACCGCACTGGTTGACCCAAAGAGGGGGCCCAACGGTGGCATGTCTCCCCCCAAGTCGGTAGAAATATCGTTTTCTAGTGCCATCATAGGCTTGCGCAAGAATTTCGCATTCGTCCTCCCATAAGGCCGAATGTTGTGACCGCCTTCGTCGAACCGAAATGCACTCGGCTAATTTAATATATTCTTTGTTGCATAGATAAGACAGTAGTATTAGCATCATTCCTCGGAAAAAACAGGAGAATGAAGGTACAGTAAGGTTGATATTTCGGCGACATGCCTTTATCGAAAGAGTAGCAGAAGTGACTTCCGCTTTTGTTTCGATAAAGGCACGTTGCTGAAATATCAACCTAACTATATCTCTATTCTCCTGGTTTTTGCGAGGAATAAGGCTAATACTACTTTCTATGTGAACGTCTATGTCTATGTGAATAATATTCATTGCTAATGCACTGAACAACTTATTCTTTTCTGTGCTGGAATCAACTGGGCTTTAAACAAATGCTGGTGAGCGATGCAGCGAGAAGGGGCAGAGTGAAACAACGCTAAAAGGAAGCTTAGTAAAGCTGGACGAACGATGCCTTGCAGAGGGGCAGAGTGAAATTACGCTAAAAGGAAGCTTAGTGAGATCTGCTCTGTCCTCGTCCTCACACATCCTTTCGAATTAAGCTTAAGCGGGGAATGTTAGACTGGACTGAGCTCTGGAGGTAGAGTAGAGCTCTGGACTGTAGAGTTAATGCGTAGAGTTAATGCCAGGTGTCAGTCAGAAACCTACTTGCGACAGGTACGTTACTGCAACGACAGGGATGATAGCTTGCTACGTATGCGCATTTGGATGAAAAGCTTTGGTTTAACGAACACATTAGCCCCGTTTATATCTAAATTAATATGCTGCCAGATAGACCACGAAAGTGGCTAAAAGGATATAAGGAAATGACCTCATGTTTGCCTGTAGACAGGAAAAGTGCTGAAACGCTTGCATTTTTCCTTAATAATATCTATGCCCTTAAGACCAATTTTAGAGCATGAGATAGCAATATGAGGTAAAAACGATAGCACGAAGAGAACTATGTACATATGTCCATAGATCTGTCTGCTGCCGTTCGGCGTTGTGGAACCACAGCCGGCATGGGACCAGGCTTCCATATCCTTTTTAAGCCAAGACCGTGCCGGACGTTTATTGGTCTAGATTTCGTACCAGATGTACCATCAGTCACGATTGGTCGAGCACTGTCGAGGTAAAGGGAAGTCCGGAATAAAGGCGAAGGGAAACTCGCATGCAAGTAAGATGGGAGTTGTTTGTGAAAAGTTAGCCGGAACGAAAGCTGCCAAGAGGTTGCAGACCGTGCCCGCGGACCGTGATAATTGCTTTATAACTGATACTATTCTGGCTGCTTAAGATCCCATCGTCAAAATAGCTCGCGTAGACAATGTTCTCCAGCACCGCACAAATCATACAGCCCTGTGTAGTTGCCCGTCAACAAATAAAAACACGTTGGGAACAAAAATGCGGCTGCTTGAACTTATATTTCAGACATTTTTCACACTTCCGCGTTTCTTGTGGATCTTTTGCATTCTTTTGCATGCGTCCATCTCTTAGGTGAGCCAGATGTAATGTGCTGTGATTCATAAATGTGTGAAATTATCATAGAAACGAGAAAGGCTGTTGACAAAATGAGTCCACGTGCTTTGAGATATACGCTGGGGCAGTCATATCCTAATGGTGCACAACTTACTGTTCTGCGCTGCGCTGTTCCCTGGTGCCTTTTGCAGTGTGATCTAGGACTTCAGTTATTCCACAAATATCACCGGGAATCAGCTGGCATTAATTAAAGTGGAGCACGCTACTAATCTCACACGTGGGTATTCAAGTAAACTAAATGCTCCCTTGAAGCATTGTAGCACTAGGGGTTCCGCGTATTTGGGGCACGCATGTGTCAATAACGGGTCACCAACGAAATGTACTAGACAAATTATGACAAGACGCTTCGGACCTGGCGGCACGAAGCGGAGGTTTGCGGTTTGGTGTTATATGATGCTGTGATTTGGTATGTTTTATATGAAATGAGCTGAAAAGCTTGTGATATGCCCCTGGTGGTATCCTGAACCTTTTGCTCGTGTCATTAGCAGTGCTGCGTGCATTTGATCTGTGAGACTGAGCCAAATGATAATTTGTATGCAAATGTTTGTTGCAAATGCTTAAAAGCTAGTGTTTGTGAAGCCCACAAGTATTTCATTGCAGCGGGTAATTTGTGGCCACTCAGCCTTTTCTCATAACCTTCCATGACCTATGACCTTGGATATATATGTATATATATATATATATATGTATATATATAGATATAGATATAGATATAGATATAGATATATATATATATATATAGATATATAATATATATATATATATATATATATATATAGAGAGAGAGAGAGAGAGAGAGAGAGAGAGAGAGAGAGAGATATATATATATATATATATATATATATATATATATATATATATATATGTGTGTATGTATGTATGTATGTATGTATGTATGTAATATATATATATATATATATATATATATATATATATATATATATATAAACATATCTCCCTTCCTCCCTGTCCTCCTCTTCTTCCCTCCGTCTCCCTTTCTCCCTCTTTTTTTTTCTCTCTCTCTCTCTCTCTCTCTCTCTCTCTCTCTCTCTCTTTCTCTCTTTCTCTCTTTTCGCCGTGCACAACTTTGAATAGACATGATAATTCGATTAATTGAAATGGTGGAAGTTGGTCTTACCGGCTAGGTTGTAAAGGTTATGCATCACACTTGCGCAATCTGCCCTTCGGCACGCTGGACAGATCGGGACATCCCCGAAAACGCGGGCTGGTTTACGCTAACAGCTATGCCAGTGACGTTTCAGATTAAGGTCATGAATAATCGGCCAGTCACGAGCCATTCGAAGTGGCCGAGTAATTGATTTGAAATGCATGTCAGGTACATTTATATGGTGCCGTACACATATCTTCATGCCACATGCCATACATATATATATTCTCTTCCTGTATGCGTATGACGTTGTGTCACGATTTTCTGTGTTTGGCAGGTACAACATGATATTTCTGGTGTTGACGTACATCCTCCCAATGATCGCCATGGCAGTGTCGTACACCATCATTGGTAAGCCAATCCGAGTTTCTGCACATTTTGACACCAAATGGTGTCGATTGTCACGCACGCTGATGGGTATGTGCTACACCAACATGGAGCCGGTGTAGCTTAGCAAACTACGTCGATGGCTTAGCACACTTTCAAAGTGTGCTAAGCCACCCGGCTGCAAAGTTCCTCATATTGTGGTGCTGACACCGAAGCAAACAATCTCTTGCGATTTTAGTCTTCTGTCGGAGTTTCGCATTGTTCTTAATTCATCTTAGCTCAGCTCTGCTTTTATCCAGTGACAGATTGCCGATGTTCTGGTACTTGAATATTGCATTAAACATAGACCTGGAACCCAACAGCGGCTGGTGGAGACTATGATGAGTGCTGTTGAATACCGTGTGAGAGCACAGGCACTCAGCCAAACGGGCAAATACGCACATTGTTCAAAAGGATTGGGGATTAATGGGGGTGCGGGTAAGGGCATGGGTATAACTTACACTTAAATATGTGCGTAATTAATTCGGAACTAAACGAAACTGACAGTAGGGCATCCACTAGTTAGTATATTATTCACTTATGCAACGATGGTTGAACGACATACGAGATGATAGGTGTGGCAAATTTTATGAAAATTAAATCATTTTTAAAACTGTCCTCCGCCTAACTGGCCGCCAAAAACCTAAGCTGAAAGACTAAGGCTCGAAACCTCAAAAAGACTCCAAATTCTAAGACGGGCTTAAAAGAGCTCACCCCATGAGCTTATAACCACAGTACTAGAAGGGGAGGCATAACGAATTTCGAAAGTTCGTATCGAGTGGTGCTCACAACACACTTACATTGACATTGTAGTTCATGATTACTTTACGAGGTGTCGAGATATGATAAATGATCTACGTTGCGCGCTTTCAAATCTGGATGGTACAAAATTACTGATTTGTGTGCCAGGGCACGTATATTTTTGTATTGCATGCACGCATTCCCTGAAGCCACCCCACTAGGCATTGGAACTGCTTAAAAAAATGCAACATAACTCTATTTAGTGTCGATTTACTGTTACACGCCAGTAACTATAAGGTCAAATGCATTTTCAGTGAAAGGAAGTCTACGAAGGTAATTCGTTGAAGAATAAAGTAATGCACCAACACGCGGTTAGATGGCGTTGTTTGGCTCCCGGAAAAATAAACGAGAAACATTGACCAAAGTGAATCAGCCCAGATGTTTGATTTGACCTCAGGTCACATGTAACTTGTTTACATTGGCAAAGATAGTATGAGCGGTCTCATGCAAGCGTTTACAAACTTGTGTCGCGCAAATAACTTTTTTCATACAGCAAAAAGACATTTAGATGTGAAACAGATCAGAGCAGGTGAGGCCAAATAAGAAGATTTCGTTTGGTATGCGTATATTATTGCTGAGTCATGACCAACCATGATGGAAGACCAGTGGTGACAAAGTTGCAAGTAAATAGGACAAGACAGTGGTGTGTATGAAATGGAGGCTACCTGACTCTTGTTAACGTCGCAGGAGACCACATGTTATTACCGAGTGTGATATCACAAGGGGTTGAAATGTTTGTATGAAATGCAAGGACACAGAATTGAGTGTCCTGTTTCAAAACCTCGAAACAAAGGGTGCGAAAACAAACATGCATGACCCCAAAACATTTGTGATACTTTCTTAGAGATTCGTATTCAGTACGCTACTTCAGCGCCAACAGTCACATTATTTGTTTGCAAAAGCTTTCAAAATGACAGGTAAGGCGTGACCTCAACTTAATGAGTTACATGTGTGCCACAATTCGCGAGTGTAGATTTGGTTCAATGGTGACCGTTTATCATGATCTACCTTTGGTGTCGATCGGTTGTAATTACAGTGAACGACGGTAATTGAAATGTCCTCGAGTCCGGTCCACCCCTCCCAGTTCCAACGCCTTTTTCGTTTGTTTCTTTTTGGCAAAAGGGCGCATGAAAAAAGCTGGAAGTTTCATGTACACGCAGCTATTTGAGAGGGTCAAATCGCGGTCTGAAGTATAGGGTGGCAGTATGTCTTTTAGCGTGCTCGAGTCATATGAGACTGTTGTTGACTGAGTAAGACTGTTGTTACTTTTGCGCACACCCGTGAGGATTTTGTCAGCGTGTTAAATAAAGCTTATTTTTGTGCACACTCTGATTTCGTCAACGCACTAAATGAATACGTAGTAGTACGTAGAGCACGTCCCTATTTCACGAGGGAAATACGATATGAAAGGCACGTTTTTTATTCGTCATGCTCCATTCTCGAGGCATCCACAGCTGCATGCTGTCATCCGGCATTCCACACCCATGGAATACACATGCCAGAGGCCCTCATTTTCAGTAGCGTGGCGCGGTGGGGCAGTCGCGCCGACTCTATCGCTGGCGCGATGGGGCAGTCGTGCCGACTCTATCGCTGCCACGCCTCAGCTCTCGCTACCCTGTCCGCGCGCGCAGTGGGGCAGTCGCGCCCGACTCTATCGCTGGCGCGGTGGGGCAGTCGCGCCGACTCTATCGCTGGCGCGGTGGGGCAGCCGCGCCGACTCTATCGCTGGCGCGGTGGGGCAGCCGCGCCGGCTCTATCGCTGGCGCGATGGGGCAGTCGTGCCGACTCTATCGCTGCCACGCCTCAGTTCTCGCTACCCTGTCCGCGCGCGCGGTGGGGCAGTCGCGCCGACCCTATCGCTGGCGCGGTGGGGCAGTCGCGCCGACTCTACCGCTGCCACGCTCTCAGCTCTCGCTGCCCGCGCGGACAGCAAGCTTGGCCCGGCTTGGCCCGGCTTGGCTTGGACTCAGTGAAGCGAAGCCGTGCCGAGGGTGTGGGCTCTCGCACTGAACCCGGCTATTTTACTATTATTATTATTGTTGTTGTTGTTCTTGTTGTTGCTGTTGTTGTTGTTGTTATTGCTGCTGTTGTTATTATTTTTGTTGTTCCTATAATGATGATTTTAGAGGCAGCGTGGGGCGTAATCGACTTTAACTACTATACTCTCCAAGCATAGCTTTTTTGCGTGTGCGTTGAAGCCACCCCAACATATGAGGAGTAAGTTTTTTTCCAAACTCATTAAACTTAAGATTAATGCCATCCATCGGACGATGCTACCTCTGACCTTTCTCTAGTCAGAACGCCTAGAAGTTTGTCCGTCCCGGTGGCTCAGTTGGAAAGAGCGCCTGCCTCCCGATTCACCCACCCGTGGCGGGGTGGGTTCGAGTCGCTTTAGGCGCTCGCTCATACCTTGACAGGTATGGCCTGCGGCCGGTGGCAGCGGTCGCACTAAAGGTCAGTTGACGTCAGAGGGCAGGACAGACCGTGCCGAGCATTGCGGCACGTTAAGCTTCCGCCACTAGATTCTGCTGTTGCCTGGAATTGCGCGATCGGATGGTAGGGGTCAGGGCTCGCACAACAAGCACTGCTTAGCGTGAGCGCTGATCCCAAAAATCCATCCATTCAAAGGGTTCGGATCAAATTTCAACAAAAAAAAAAACACCGGAGGGTCCAACACGCCTCTCAGCGCGTCGAAGCGACGGCCGCGGGGCCGGGTAATCTTGGTTGACCACATCCCATTTGTACAGTGGTGGCGCGACGACATTCGTCCTGGATTTCATACCCTTCGCCACTGCATGACGAAACCAGCAGCTTTTCTCTGGGCCAAGGAGGTGGTGGCCACAGAATCCGCCCGCGAAGGCCCCGCCGTGAAAGTTGGTTAGCACAGCATAGGGTATTTCTCTTTTATATATTTCTTATCCGGACATGTATATATATATATATATATATATATATATATATATATATATATATATATATGTGGGGGTATGTAATATATAAGTACGATATATACATGTGTGTATGTAGCATATAAATAGTATGTTATATATACATATACATACATACGTTACAAGATATTTCTTATCCGAGGGCAGTACTCCTCAGTCACTGGCATGGCAGTACAGCTTGGTTCGGGCCCGTCTAGGAACACGTACAGAAGCCAGGTTTGGATGAGAGGCCTCTCATTTACTGCGGCACGCGCCTTGCACGCCTGAGGCGACGAGGTGGTTATCCCATGAAATAAGGTAAGGAAAAGAGCAGCATTCCGGTAATTCTTTCGTAAATATTCATGACTAAGCTGGCCTTAAGCGTGCCTTCCACGAAATCTAAAGTTACTAAAAATACCAATAACTGACGGGCTGAATCGTGGGAAGTTGGCAAGGCAAAGACAGCTTATCATACTCGCGAACCAATGAATGTGAAATGACTTGCAAATTAAACCTCACAAAGGTTTTCAGAAACGCTAGGCCCCTGAGTCGTTGCGCGTAGGTACAAGTCACACTCATCACTGCATACCTGCACTAAAATCGACAACGTATTGCCCTCTCAGCAGCAAAATAATACCAACATTTCCCTGGTGGTCCCGTACCAACACACCAAACCCGGGTCCACCCAGTTCTGCTGTGCCGTATTATTCGGCCTCGTGCCGCTCCGCGCGTCAGTTTGGTCCGAAGAAACCAGCAGGGCCATCATTGAACTGTGCGTACATCGCAGCCAGCCAGCATCCCGTGAAGTCTGAGCTGTGCCTGAAGGTGTGGTGGACTCGGAGGTCTACTCGGTCCACTTGGACGATCCTCTGATGGTCGCGGTATCACTGCTGGCATGCTGCCGGCTTGCGATTTTACAAGCTGGTGTCCGCGGGTCTGGAAAAGCATTTCGCGTTGGTTTGAGGCAGTCTTTGTGCCGAACGTATATTCGGCTACATAAAGCGAGGTACGTGATGGGATAAAGAACCCAGCGTAGCGCCCCGTCACGTTTGAGGACCGCTCGCTCGCCACAACTAAGCCCTCGTCTTCCAATTTGTGTGCCAGTTTGCTGGTGTGAGCAAGCTGTGTGGCTCGGCTGATTTTACAACAAAGCCGGCTTGTTTTGTCTCAGACTCTCGCTGCTCGGGTGGCCGAATTCGGCTCGGGAACGAACGATACGCTCGGCTTTCGCCCTGTCATCACAAGAGGCACTGAAAG